TAAAAGTGCTGCATGGGTTGGTGGAATTCCATCAATAGATCTTCCTTTTCGTGTGAAGAGGTCTTTTCGCGCTTCGTTGACTCCTGTAGCAGCATTTGATCGGTCGTACATAAGAATTACAAATCGCTCCAACGTTGGCATAACGGCGGCAATAGAGTCATCTGTTGGAGTTTAACTAAGAATTTTGAATGCTTCGACAGCTTCACTAAATGCTTTTAAGGTACCCCATGCTGTCTTTTTACCTTTGCCACAGAATGATGAAGTTTGATCACATCAAGTAAACGCATGGAATGCCGATAAACAACTTGCTATATCTTGACCAAGAGCATTACAGAGTTTATGTATGTATATATCTAAATTGTTTTCCAGTGCAAAATGCTATCCAAAGCTCTTGTACATTTATATGTTGAAAGACTGTTATAGCTATGACAACAACATCTGTATCAACAGTGCGTACAAGGACTTTTGTATTGTTCAGCCTTGCAGCATGAGCAACATGAAGTAAAAGCCTTGTATCTGCTTCTTCATGTGTACATGGAGATATGATACTACTTTCTTCTATTGGTGTATTGCTCAGAACGTCTGATCCTTTTGTGGTTATGATCTGCTTATTGTTGTCACGTGTTAATGTTATCACCTGATCTGCTAAATACCCAAATAGCTCTGTTTTGTTTTCATCAACTCGAAGAAAGGCTTCCCAACTTCCAGGAATTCGTGAATCTAGCTGGACTCTTCTACGAATACCTTGTCCACGTTTGCCTCTTGTTGTAGCTTTTAGACTATTTGTAATGTATTCATCCCAAACAATGTCCACTCTAGAAACACTCTGTATCTGACGCTCAACGAACGGTATAAACACATTCTGTGAGTACTCAAGGAATGTTTGACAGCCATTAGGTTTTAATATATTGATAATGGCTGCACCATCGAAAATCTTTACATCAACATCTGGTATTTCATATTCAGATGGACATACTTGCTCGAGGCAGGTTAACAATTCAGATTTACAACCAAATCTTAAATGTCCGAACTGTGAAATTGAAGGAGGATACTTGCTATTCTCATGAAGAAAAAAGGTCCCCTTTGCGCACCTGACAAGATACATATAACTTTGAAAAAAGTGAACAAGTGTCTTTAATTGAAGAAATTTATTGCTTCTCCTTGTTGTTTTCTTTAATTGCAGGCCAACTAAAAAGCGGGAATTTATTCTGCTTTATAGGATCAGTGACAGGCTTTTGTCTGGTATCAAATCGTTCGGTAATGAAGGTTTCAAACTGTTCTTTGCCCACTCTTTCAATTTGCTTGACAGTGTCCTTCACATGATCATCAAGTATGTCCCGAGTAACTAATACTTAAAGGTCCTCTGTGTTATCATTAAAGGGATTTCCAAACTCTTCAATGACTGCACACAAGTCTTTTACTTGTTTTCCAAATCTCACTTGCGTGCTTTTGTTCTGTTCATGGTGCTTAACATCTTTTTCATCAGTTAGTGAACTGTTCTTACAATTCTGCTCTTGCTCGAATTCCTGGAGAGCTCTTGCAATCTCTGGTAACTAGATATATCACTTAGCAGTGTCTCATAGCCTGCACCTTTAGAAACATCTTTGCGTTTAATCAATGCGGGACACTGAAGCGCTTCCCTTGAATGTGTTTGACAGAGAATACAATTTAACCAATCTATTGGACAGTGTACTAGTTTAGACTTTGGTGATGTTTGTGGCACTTTAGGCGTCACGTCATATAACCTTGAACTTGAAAAAAGCACTGGGTTCTTTGTAACATTTCCCACATCTCTCTGGAAGCTTAGATTCTTACCTGAAAATATATTAATTACAGATAATATATTCAATATGTCTGTCAAATGAAGTATTTTTTCCGCTTTTGTAAATTTATGTTATCAAAAATTTCTAAAAAAATGCTTATTACATTACTTTTTGTTCTAGACTAGACTAGACAGACCTGGACCAGACTAGACTGGACTTGACTAGATAGATAGACAGGTTTGTAGGTAGGTAGTAGGTAGAAAGGTAGGTAGGTTCACAGATTCATAGATTGATGCATAGATACAAACATAGATATATACATAGACAGATACATACATAGAAACATACATACATAAATACATAGATACATGGATAATAGATAGACATAAACATAGATAGATACAAAGATACGTAGATACATACATAGATAGAGGGATAATAGATAGAAAGATAAATATATAGGTTCATAGATAGATATATGTATATGGATACAAAGATAGATACATACATTGATTCATTCATAGACATACATAGATAAATACATAGACATACATAGATACATGTATATAGATACAAAGATAGATACATAAATAGACATACACAGACACATACATAGATAGAGGGATAATAGATAGACAGATACATAGAAGCATAGAACCTGAAGCTTACCATCAAGTGATTCCATGTTAATCATACTGTGCCTAAATACATGAATGTTCTGACGTTACATGGTTTGGCTATTTCAATTTAAATAGAGCTGCTATACTGGATCTTCCTAAAAAGATAAATAAACTTTTTTATTTACGTGTCATTGTCGATGGAACATTACTTTATAAATCGATTTTTTTTGTTTGTTAAACATTGAAAAATATAATCTAATTAAACTGCAATGTTACCAACATATGATAATCATGTATTATAGAAAGCATTGCGGGTGTTTATTTCCTTAGTTAGGCAAATTCCTAATAAAGTAACACGGTTCTGATTCAAAATAAGAAAAAAAGATATATAATTGTTATAGTTGTACAAAACAAGCTGTTGATTAACATTAATTCATCAATTTATCCGAACACTATTATATATCCGAAGACTATGACAGTTTTTAAAAATTTTGAGCATGACTCTTATAAGACATATCTTATGTTAAAAATAATTTTAAAAGCAAGGCTACAACATCAAGAAAGTAATCCACTTACCTAATTTTCAGCAAATATTGTAAAATCTTGAAACTTTTCACATAACATTTAAAAAAAAACCTGCACAGGAAGTTTTCTTCTGCTACACACAAATGGGGAATATCAAACAAAGTAAAGTAACTATGCTAAATTATTTATTTACTTAATAGTCATAAAAAATAAAGCAAACATTCTGGAAATTATCAATATAAGTATAACGAGCAATTTTGCACCGTACGTAAGTAATGCATATTTTGAAATATTTTGAAAACCTAAGAAATGTCTGCGTGCCAATTTCGAGATTGTCCTATGAGCTTTCTTTGGATTTGAACTTATACGTAGCACATATCAGGCATGCAACTCGTCAGTCAGACATGTACAGTACTGCGTTAAGTGTATTAACAGCTAAAGAGTATTATAGTAATTCAAAAAGACAACAACTTGTGTAAATCTATGATTAAAAGGTAAAAATATGTGATTTTTAAGGATTTTTACCAAATTTTTTACCTTTTTACTTTAAAAAAAACACAAAATTGACAAAATATCTCAATAACATATTCATTTTTTATCTAAATCTCAATTTCAACACAATAGATAATAAAATATTGTAATAATTTATTTGTATTATCAAGTAATCACCACAAATAGTCAACAAAAGGGTATTTTCTTAATTTTCGGACATATTGGCAGCCATCTTGAAAAATGGCGGCCATTTTGAATTTTTCAAATTGGGTCCATAGCCTATATAACCTTATATACTTTGAACTACCATAGTGCAAAGTTTCATGCTTTTATCACAAGGTGAACAATTTCACTGTTTTCTTGAAAGCACCATATGATCCCACTACATGTGTACATTCAACAATCAAAGTTTAAGTTATTGTTTGTGTAATCGTAATATCCCGCTTAATAGGATTACTTATTATTATACAATATGGTGTTAATGTTTAATTTCGTTAATTACATTTAAGTCTGCTTTTCCTGTTTTAACATAATTATGTATATATCCATGCAATAACTTGAGGTGAAAACAGATGTTTACTTTTGACTCTTCAACCAAAAGATATGTAAAACACAAAAAACACTCAATGTTACAAACAGCTAAATTCTCTGGATGTCTAAGTCATCTGGTGATGACCTTTCGTAGTTAACTTCGAAAAATTATAGGTTGCATCGAGAAAAAAATGGCGGGTATTTTATATTAGAAAATACTGCTACTTATATAACAGTACAAATTTTCAGTCACGTGGTATACTTTCATCGGTAGGAAAAAAATCCCATTGGCCACGCAAAATAAGTGAGGGGTTAAATAATAATTATATAATAAGAGGTTAATACACGGCAGGAGAGGGCCGGAAGGTGATAATCGGCCCGCAAAATGAATAATGGATTATTCAATAATGCACGAAGAATTGATATCTATTTCCATTCTAACACGTCAAGAAAAAATATAATTATTATTATAACGTTGGACTTTATGTTTGGTGGTTGAATTTGTTTTCGCCTCAGAGTTTCCAATAGAAACGTTCTTTAAAGGCTGTTCCAGTGGGTTGAAAAAAAACTGTCGTTTAATCTACCGTGTGTAGAAACATTTTGAAATAACGAATTTTGAAAACGTTTAAAGTGTTGTTAACGTGACGTCACAATGTAGCGCCAAACAGCACGTGCAAAACAATCAAATCAAGTACGCTATTTTAATGTCGCAAACGAGTTTAGTTCTACATTTATTTCACTTTTAATAATTTGTATTTCGCATGGAAAATTATAAACTGAAATAGATAAACAAACAAAGTTGTATCAACGTTTTCAAAATGATGTCTGAACAATATCTTTATTTTCTAACTTATTAGTATAAAATTTCCCTGTTATGATTTAGAAACACCAGGCCCCGAGGTTATAAACATTTGAGATCGGTCTCCCAGCTCAGAAACGAGCTCCGTGCTCACCTTTGAGATCAAACTCAGGAAAGTTGAGATTATAAAAAAATTGAGTTTGAGTTCAGTCTCAAGTTGAGCTCAGAGTCTGAGATTAATAAAACCCTTCCTCAGAGTCTGAGCTCAGATTGAGATCAAAACAAATATGGCGGCCCATCTCCGCGTCCGTAGACTGAATATGCTTAGCAATCATTCTAATCGTGTTCCAAGGGTATTTAAAGATCGTTCTAATCCCTTGGAAGATCTTTCTGAAGACGAGGTGTTTCGTAGATATCGTTTTCATCCCGATACGATTGTTTACATCTTGTCATTGTTGCCGTCGTTATGCAGAAGAACCAAACGGAATTTTCCTGTGCCACCGTTGCTCCAGTTGCTGGTAACGCTACGTTATTTAGCAACTGGGAGCATGCACTTGCTTATAGGTGATTCTGTTGGACTGTCAAGGTCGACAGTCGGGCGCATAGTGAGGCAAACGACTCGTCTTTTGTGTGCTTTAGCAGATAGCTTCATTAAGTTTCCGACTGGTCCAGATGCTCTCCTAGTGAAAAATGGTTTCGCTGATGTTGCAGGTAATTATTGGTTTTTCCAACGTCGCCAAAAATAGACAAGCTTTTTTATTGGTACATGTTCTGAAATGACATCACAATGACATCACACCAAAAATTGGGGGCACATTATGGGAGAAAATATTCAACCGCCTACCTATACCTAAATTAATCAAATGAGTGTTTTTATTTCAATTATTAACAATAAACTGGATAATAAACAGACATAGTTAACACATGAAATTAAATTAAACGTGAATAAAATCGTAAAATTTATACTAGATTTGTCATATTTGTTTACATTGATAAAATATTACTTAAGATTTTGTAGCTCTTTCAAGTCTTTGGTTAAATTGACCAATATATTGTAAACCTCATTTGGTTAGTTTTTCAGCCTAAACCTACTTGATTATTTACAAGTAGGCACACACAATATTATAACAACCAGGCTGTTCTTTAAAAGGGACATATCACAGGAACTTGAAATTCTATCACTATTAACGATAATATGCAAAATATACCCCCCATATACTATAAAAAAAACACAAGGAATGAAACGCCTTTTCCCCACCCGAACATAATTTTTTTATAGTATATAGGGGGTATATTTGGATATTATAATTAATATTGGTTATTTGATAGAATTTCAAGTTCCTGTGGACATATGTATATAAATCAATGCACCTGTAATTCACAAGGTGTACTTGCGCTCCATTTGTAGTAACAATGTTATGTATTTATTGACATAAATAATTTGGCAGTTTCCTTGAATTATTTTATTTGATCCTAGCCATAACATGCAAACAGTAAATAAAATTTGTGTTATTGCAATGTAGTTGCTAAAAGTTATTTCAATATGAATGCACTTTAAGTTGCAGCCTCCAGATGAGCCAAAATATTTAAAGAAATTCAATCTTTAGAAAATGTATCAAAATTACAGGGAAAGTAAAAAAAATCAATATTTAATCAATTATTTACATTTGATGGGCGGTTAATGACTGATTTTGCAGTATCAATCACTATAATTCTACTGCATTACTAACACAGTAAAAGGTATTTATATATAGGCTAATTTGACCTCTTTTTGGTACTTTACTTGGATAATATATGTGTAAATTACTTTCTTTGTTCACCTCACAATATTTTACTTTACATTTTCGAAAATTTCTTTCAGGTTTTCCAAATGTTCTGGGATGTATTGATGGAACATTCATAAGAATAAGGCGGCCAATTGAGAACGAGGCAGATTTTGTGAACCGGAAAGGTTACCACTCCTTGAATGTTCAGGTATAAAAATAACCAAGTCATGATTATCTGATGAATAGTGTTTATTGTTTATTTGTTTATTGCAGACATGCAAATTTTCAAGACACACACACACACACACACACACACACACACACCAATACACGCATGCACACACACAAACACAAGAATGCACAAGCAAGCAGGAGGAAACAACCATATTAATACAAAATAAATATGGACACACAAACAAATGCATGCACAGAAACACACCTTTATTCATACAAATTAATACATGTATGTATAGACACATAATTTCAACAAATTTACAGAAATGCAATGGTGATCAGCTAGGATATAGCTGTCATAAACTGGTTCTGTGGAAATAAAATCATGGATTTTAGAATTTATTATACTAACTTGCAATATATAACAATGAAATTCAATTTATCTTAGTTTATTATACCATTGCTATGTTATTTTAAATACTAAACTATTAATTGCAGATGTGCTGTGACCATCAATTTAAAATAACAAGTTGTTATGCAGCTTGGCCAGGCTCAGTACATGATAGTAGAGTGTTTAGAAGTTCTTCACTGTGTGCACAGTTTGAAAATGGTAATCATATCAATCTTTAAAGCACATAAGTAGAATCAATTTAATAAACCTTACTTTCTTTGATGATCATAATATTCAAAATACTAAATTACAAATACTAGTAAAATGAATGAGAGCTGTCACAGGAGAAAGCATAGCTGGAAAAAACTATCAAAGAAAAATTAATTATGATATGAATTTATTTCTGAATCAGTATCAAAAACAGCACTCAAATGTTCTATATTTTTTGCACAATAAAATATGCATATGACCTTGTCAATAAATGTTAAACAGGCATTGTTATGCTTTAATGGAAAAGACAGCCATTTGAAAACTGAAATCAATCCCTACAAAAACGAAAATAACAAGTGCCAAAATATTTTAAGTTTTTGAAGTAAAATAATAAGTTGAAAGACCGAATAACTCTTGAAAAAAGATGCTAGAGTTATGGACCTTGTCATGCATGATGTCAGAAATGAGAAAGAACAATTAATTATCTGAAATATAGATAAGATATAATTTATTATAATAAAAAATATACTAAAAAAATCATATTTACAAATCAATTCAAAAAAGTTTAAGATAGATACCTTAAAAACTAAAGAAATTATAGTACACAAATAATGTTTTTCAAGTAAAAAATACAATATCACTATAAGTATATTTGTTGAAGTATGTATAATCTATGAATGTGTATTACTTATCTCTAAGAAAAATCTGATAACACTAGAAACACTAGAAACAGTAATGGCACTGCAAAACATAATTTGATCATTGTGCATATGAAATATCTATTGCTTTACATTGAATGTAGTGAACTTTCATATATAAATTTTGCAGGTGATCACAACGGACTCTTATTAGGAGACTCTGGCTACCCTTGCCGTAGCTTTTTGATGACCCCCTTCCTTAATCCACAAGGCAATGCCAGATGCAGGTTTAATGAGTCACTCTGCCGCACCAGAGTGCTCATTGAACAAACATTTGGCATACTGAAGCGAAGATTTCAGGTAAATATTTAAATAATAATAAACTTTCAAGCAGTTAATATTGTAAAGACTCTATATGAAGACCACCAACAGGACTGGAGCAATCTTATCTTAATTCTGGGATGATCTTATGTAAAATCATTATTGGAATACATAACACTTATTGTAACATTTACAAATCAAGCAGGTGCATTATGTTTCACAAGTGAGTAATGACCTAAGGAAAATATATAGCTGAATTTCAGATCATAACAATTAATTTTAAAGTGTAGAAAGCTAAGAAATAATTTAACAATTACACAATTTAAAAATGGAAAAATGATATTGTTTCCATATTCTTATAGTGGACTATCAAAAGGTTAGTAATATATAATTATTCTATTTAACACACATGAATATTGATCAAAATACTATGCTACTATTTTCAAGTAGGTTTTTTTCCATATAATTATGATGTTTTACAAGCGCCATTAAAATATTTTTTTTCAAACAACTATTTTATAATTATTCCCTCAAAAATTGTAAGATTTAACAAATCATAACAATTAACGTTAAAGGGTAGAAAGCTAAGAAATAAAATAATTTTTTTCATACAACTGTTTAATAATTATTACCTCAAAAATTGTAAAACAAAAATTTTGTAATGATATAGCTTTAAACATTTAAACACAGATACAATAACTTTACAATCCGGTCGTAGCTAAGATTTGGTCGTACGACCGATCTTACGGCTACGTCGCGTTTTATCAACATGGTCGTAGCTAAGACGTCGTAGATTAACGTCGTAACTTTAAGGCTGCTTCAGACCAGTCGTAAGTAGGCTTAAGATCTTAAAAATGGCGGCCATTTTTGCATAATTCCCGATAGGAACTTTCAAACAAAAATATTTGAACAATTGAAGTTTCCAACTAACGTAGGTTTTCCGCGTACATGCTTATGTACAGTGCTGATTCTATTTTAACATCCCAGGGACGCAACTATCACTTCCAGATTAATCTCCGGATAATTTCCACGAAGAAGCTATGGTTAGTTATATTTCTTTAATTTAAGTACAACCGACGTATATAATGTGTTTAATATAACTCCTGTCACATCTGTAGCTAGATTAGCAAATGATTCTTACAATTTTCTATACCGTTTCCTACTTTTCTTTTCGAAATATTTTAGTACAGAAATTTCGGACAGTGCAGATTTCGGACAGAATATAGATCTAGCTATTATTGTCAAGCTATTAAACCAATTTGATTGTTATAATTAGTTAAGTATGTTCTTTTGTAGACCCTTCAATGAAGTTGCTACAGTATCTATGTGAAAGACAAGTGTTAAAAAAGTGAAATCAACATGGCAACATTAGCCTATGTTAACCTACAGTACAGTGCTGTAATGGGAATGCAAATGAAACTGTAGCACTGTTGTTTGGTAAAGCATGCACATGTTTGCGAAATGAGCATCTTTAGATCCAATTTGGTGTATCACATGAAAAGAGGATTGTAAACAAAGGACAAGTAACTTGTGCAGACAGGTGAGTTTGAAATATAGACAGTTTTAGAGTTCACTTTACCCAGTTTTAGAGTTCACTTCACCCCTCTTTAGAACTATGAAATCTGATTAAAGCACTACACCTCCCTTTTTGTTTATGTGTTGTTATGTGCTTTACACAAATTGGAACATGTGAAATGCAATCAATTATGGTGATTAAAATATTCATTGTTTTAACACATTTCTTGTTATATAATAAGTATGGACCAAATCAAAATAGAGATATTACTTTTCCCCTAATATATTTACATGTGTATGATATTAATGATAATCAATCAAGTACATTATATTTTTTTCTAAAATATAATTATCACATTAAAACTTCAAAATAAGTTTGACTATTTAAAATAACTTATTTTGTATCTTAGATCTTAGATATGAGATATCTCTTTCACCCCTCATTTGTTCTAACTAACATTGATACTGGGAAATACATGTATGTCCCAGATTGACAGTACATTGATAGTTATGTTGAAAATCACACATAATATAATATTTTTTATCAACAATTATATAGCAGATTTTTCTTTATTTTTGTGTCACATTGATACTTTAAATTGTCTTTCATGTAATGTTTCAGAAAATGGTGTAATATATTGAAGTTCCATGTTGCAAGTTAACTTGTCAGGGTTAAAAATGTTGAAAATTGCCTTGAGTTAAACATTTTACAAAAAAATACTAAAAGAAGAAAATTAACAGACAAAAGGTTTATTTGTTGTTAAAATATTTATTCTAGAAATAATCAGGGATGATGGGTGAAGTGCCTTACAGACTAAAAAGTCAAAGTTATATTGCGTTTTTATTGATTATCAAAGAGCTTTCGATTCGGTAAATAGAGATGCCCTATGGGTTAAACTTATTCAAGCAGGTGTCAGCTGTAAAATGACAAATATGATTAAACTTATCTATAATAATGTACAATTATGTGTAAAAATATCAAATACTATGGAGTTATCTAACTTTTTTGATGTTACAATAGGATTAAAGCAAGGCGATCCATTATCTCCCCTGTTATTTACATTATTTATCAATGATATTGCTGAGAATTTGAACTTTGATACTATGACAGATAAGGATCTTGAACTTTTATCAATGTATTTAATTTTGTTTGCTGATGATATAGTTTTATTCACTACTGATCCAACAAGCTTGCAATCTCAAATAGACCAGATATATAACTATTCTGAAAAATGGGGTCTCAACATTAATGTTAATAAAACAAAAGTTTGTGTTTTTGAAAAACGTAAACAAGTCAGGGGAAATGAGTTTTTTATAAATGAAGAGAAAATTGAATATGTTGATAACTTTACTTATTTAGGTGTCCGATTTACATATACTGGTAATATGTGTGGTGCAGTAAAAGCATTAAACGATCAAGCTCTAAGAGCCTACAACAATTTATTGTCTTTATTATAATATTAGTCTAGACATTAAAACAAAACTTAAACTTTTTGATTCTATGATAGCACCAATTTTACTATATGGGTCAGAGGTATGGGGTCTGTACGTTTCTGTAAATACATCTTGGGTGTTAAAAAAACTCCAACATCTGCCGTTTGTGGTGAACTTGGCAGAATCCCATTATCAGTCATTTGTAAAGAAATGTCAATAAAATTTGGTTAAAGTTTATGAAAACTCCCGACTCCCCTATGTATATGTTATATAGAGACCTATGTATTAATGTAAACACAAATTGTTGGGCATCTAAACTCCATTCAATTATTGATCATTTAGGTCTTAAAAATATTCGCTTAAATTACGACTGTAATGCAAATTATTTAAATTTGTTTAAAAGTAGGATTCGGGACCAGTTTATTCAAGATTGGAATCATACAATTAATACTTCACCGAAATTACACTATTATTGTAAGTTTAAACAATTGTTTGAGTTTGAAGATTATTTAGTTTCAATTAGCAATGAGACTACAAGAAAATCTCTTACTCGCTTTAGACTTAGTTCACATAATTTGGAAATTGAACAAGGGAGATTTAATTGGATTGATAGACAGAATAGATTATGTAAATTATGTAATCAAAATGTTATTGAATCTGAGTATCATTTTTTGCTATGTTGTAATAAATATGATGATTTAAGAAGACAATACTTGGGAAATATCCCATGGCCAAATGTTCATAAATTCATACAGCTTATGTCAACAAAAAATAAATTTAAACTTTTTAAAATAGCGAAATTTATAGATGAGTCAATGAAATGCCGAAACAATTATTTAGAATTTCTCACGGCTTCTTAACGAATTCTTAAATCATTGTCTCTTAAGTATAAAATTGATTGATTATTAACTTGTATTTTTCTGTACATTTGTTTAATTATATCAGTGTAAAATGTAAACATGTTTATAGTTATATTGCTGTTAAATGTCTTTGCCATATAATGTATGTGTGTAAATGGCCAAAGACAATGTTCATTGTCGATTTGCCAATAAACTTGAAACTTGAAACTGATTTTGGGGTGTGAAGTGTCTTGTTTACACATTTAAACAAATACTATTGTATTATATATTGTAGTAATGTTAGATTTGTGGGAATCATTATAAGATTTACTCATAGGTTGTTAAAGTTTATGTAGATATTATCCTAGTAGGCTTCTTTTCAGGTATTACTTGATTTTTGTTTATACATGTACATGCTATATAGAGTCTATAAAATTGTAGCTGAATTTTTATCTGATTTTCCTTACAGATATAAGGCAGCATGAATAGTTAGTACTTGGTGCATCTGCTGATCAATGTGTTTGTCAAAGAGGACATTAACAATGATGAGGCTGTATATCACCAGGGTCAGTAGTGACAAACTTATTTTAGAAACAGTAATATAAAAGTAAAATGACCTTACACTGTCAGGGAACTGACAGTTATAGAGGAATATAAAAAAAAATCAACAGTGAGAACTTCTTTAAAAGCTCAATGACTGTGACTGGCAAATTCACATATTTCAAAGACATTCATAATTATTGAATAAAAACTATTCACATTTAGTTTATAAGGATTTCATTTGAATTATACATTTTCATATTTATCTGTTCATGACATTTCATATGAGATAGTTTGTAAAAAAATATTGTATCAAATTACAATGTTAATTATTTGATTTTAAGTCAGAATATTCTCTGTAATGTTTCAGATTACTGCTGAATGATGGAAGGTTTACAGCTAAACAATCTTATGATTGGAATCAATATCCAGGGACAGCTCTCCCTTACAGGGTCCAAGTGTTGTGACCTTGTTATATGGCCAACAAAGGGCATTTAAGTCCTAAAGATAGTTAAGAATAAAGTTATATAGACTATCAAACATTTCATCAATTTACCAAAAGAATGGAATTTTACCCAAATGATTTTGGGTTTTTATAACACGTAAACATTACTTAATCGGACATAAAATTAAAAATTTGACCGTAGAAATGTGTCTTTAAAGTAGGGCATTATAAGAGAAAAAATCGTGTAGACAGCTCAATTTACCGCGGACATTGTGTTTCAAAATCTTTTGAAGTCGTGAATTTAAATTTGTAAATAATCAGCATGGAAACTACGACAAGTTAAGATATTTGATAGGCCTGAGTGATTCATTACAAAGCATTTGAACGAAAAACGTGCATTTATTATACAATAATGCACGAAGAATTATATCGGCCTTCGTGATTATACTACTACGCATTTGAACTCAAACCGTGCATTATTCTACAACAATGCACTCAGAATTGATATCTATTTCCTAAATATGAAATCCGTATTGTACTGCAACTGTCGTTAAATATAGTACAAAAACATTGTTGACTTTGTTTTTTTTTTACTTTAATGCTGTTTTCGCCTAAAGAATTCGCCACAATTGCTTAATTTTTGTCATGATCAGAAAAATGAGAATTCGGAAATATATATATATATATATATATATATATAAGTCCTAAAGATAGTTAAGAATAAAGTTATATAGACTATCAAACATTTCATCAATTTACCAATTTTCCATACATACAGCTCTGGGATACCATCGAGCACTCTGTCTAGGGTTTGTACTGACTTTTAGTGTTATTTGATTTATATATATATATATATATATAAATACTAGACGAAGAATTTCCCAAGGAACACTTGCTACACAAAATATTCAATAGAAACACAGTCAAATTAAGTTATAGTTGCATGAACAATATAAAAACATAATCGACGGACATAACAAAGCTATTCTTTCCAAAGAAATAGTAAAAAATCAGCCTAAAACATGCAATTGTAGGAAAATAATAGATTGCCCCATGTCAGGACGATGCTTGGTGAAATCGGTTGTATATAGAGCTACAGTGGAAACAAACGACGACAAGCCTAAACAAACTTATGTAGGATTAACAGAAAATACCTTTAAAACCCGATTTACAAACCACAAAGCATCATTTAGAAATCCTAAGCTTAAAAACAGCACTGAATTAAGTAAATATATCTGGGAACTCAAAAAAGAAAACATCGACTTTAACATAACATGGAATATCTTAAAACAAGCCTCACCCTACAACCCAGCCTCCGACCGATGCAACTTGTGCCTATGGGAGAAATTCTACATTATCTGCAAACAAGAAAACGCTAAACTTAACAAAAGAAACGAACTTGTAACAACCTGCAGACATTCCAGGAAATATCTATTAAGCAACTTTAAAAAATGAACAGTATTAATATAGTTACGCCCCTTTATTGAGAAACCACCATTTACACTTCATAGTTACGTCCCTTTATTGAGAACTACCATTTACACTTCTGAAGATTGCGTTTTGCGCATGAAACTAATTAGTAAAGGAAAATGTGTTTTTCAATGTGTTGATTGAATATAAATCCATACATACAGCTCTGGGATACCATCGAGCACTCTGTCTAGGGTTTGTACTGACTTTTAGTGTTATTGGATTTATATATATATATATATATATATATATATATTGCTTGCCAATATCACATGTATTTATCAGTATTTCGTATAACATTATTAAAAATGCCAACAGAACAGGTGTTTCTAAATCATAACGGGGAAATTTTATACTAATAAGTTAGAAAATAAAGATATTGTTCAGACATCATTATGAACCTAAGTACTAGTATCTTAAATGTGTTTGTCCATTTCCTGTGTTCCACTTTATCTTATCGTTGAAACTCATTCAAATTTTTGTGCAAATAACGAGAAAAACAGCAGCTGTATCGTCTCTTCTATCAATGTACAATACCCTGCAATGTAAATTATATACTGTGAGTTTATGTGTAAAATATCGTCAGAAAACAAGATAGCCCGTATTTCTTTCAGAATTGGATGCAACATACGATAAATATAATACAAGTTTTTAATATCTCGATGTGTGCATAATAAAGAAGTAAACGTTTGCCTATGTTTTTAAATTAAAATAATTCCTGTTAAAAATTGAATTCTGCTGAAGCCGGAGACAGGGGGCGTAGATAACTTGCACATGCTAGAATCGTTCATGAAAATGCTCAAACAAAACGAGCCTGCAACATTATCACTTTTGACGTTTTGGACCTTTTATAGGGATTTTTTTACCATTTCCCAAACATCAGCAGAGAAAGCCAATGTATTGAATCCAATTACATTATTTAGTACATAAATAGTATTTAAAAACACTTTATAATTCATTTATTTTTGTAATTCTGAAAAAACCTTAACGCCTACAAACACAATAACATGAATCATGGAAACTTTTTATGCCCCCACAAAGTGGGAGCATATAGCGTTGCACTTGTCCGTCCGCCTGTCCGTCCGTCCGTACATACGTCCCGAAATCTTGTGAACGCAACTCCTCTTAAACCTGATGACAGATTTTGCTTAAACTTTCAGGGATGAACAACCTTAATGTGTAGATGGTAGTAAAGGAAGGAATTTTCGCTGCGACGAAATTTAACAGAATACTGGCCCTTTGTTGAATTTTTCAATATATACAATGTAGAAATTTTGTGAACGCAACTCCTCTTAAACCGGATGGCAGATTTTGATTAAACTTCCAGGGATGAACGACCTTAATGTGTTGATGGTTGTAAAGGAAGTAATTTTTGCTGCGACCAATTTCAACAGAATTATGGCCCTTTTTATTTTTTCTCTATATACCATATAGAAATTTTGTGAACGCAACTCCTATTAAACCTGATGACAGATTTTGCTTAAACTTCCAGGGATGAACAACCTTAATGTGCAGATGGTAGTAAAAGGAAGGAATTTTCGCTGCGACGAAATTTAGCAGAATACTGGCCCTTTGTTGATTTTTTCACTATATACTATGTAGAAATTTTGTGAACGCAACTCCTTTTAAACCAGGTGGAAGATTTTGCTTAAACTTTTAGGGATGAACAACTTTAATGTGTAGATGGTAGTAAAGAAAGAAATTTTTGCTGCGACCAAATTTAACAGAATCATGGTCCTTTGTTGACTTTATCACTATATACTATGTAGAAATTTTGTGAACGCAACTCCTCTTAAACCGGATGGCAAATTTTGCTTAAACTTCCAGGGATGAACAACCTTAATGTGTAGATGGTAGTTAAGGAAGGAATTTTTGCTGCGACCAATTTTAATAGAATTATGGCCCTTTTTTATTTTTTCTCTATATACCATATAGAAATTTTGTGAACGCAACTCCTCTTAAACCGGATGCCAGATTTTGCTTAAACTTCCAGGGATGAACAACCTTAATGTGTACATGGTAGTAAAGGAAGGAATTTTTGCTGCGACCAAATTAAACATAATTATGGCCCTTTGTTGATTTTTAGTTTTCAATTTGTGGCACATGTAGTCCAAAAATATATTTGACCTAGAGTCATAAAATTGGCAGAACAGAGGCGTGTGGGGGCATGCGTGTCCTATGGACACATTTCTAGTTTTAATATATTCATGTATATATATATATGCTACAGTGTATTTTGGCCCGGCGGTCTCTTATCGCGGAAAAAAAAATACATTGTATTGTAAAGCGTGGCAATCATTTTATGAAAAATACTCTTCGATTGTACTCTTAAAGGTCCAAAAATGCTTTTATTATTTTTCTTATCAAAAATGTTTAAAATCTTATTTTTTTTTGTTTCCTGTTATTTTTCCTAAAAGTTACGCATTAGCCATTTGCCTGAACTTTTGCTTCTATTGCCTTTTTTAAAGGGATTAAGTATTTTGTATGGAAGTCAAAATGCTACTTTGTTTACATTTTGCTATATTTTGCGCGATAAGCATTTAACATGTTCTAAAATCACAGTTCAATGTTATAACACTCACGTTTCGCCTTACTAAATATTGGGAAAAATCGTTTCTAAAGCATAATAATTATAGCTTAAACACATGCGTAACTATTTGAGGAAAGCAACATACATGTTTCAGCAGACAGTATGTCTTTCTTTGGAATCTCTGTCAAAAGGTGCAAGAGGTAGTATACACGATACTTGACGGTCCACTGATGGAAGAGGTGGTGATTTTTGTGAAGCTTAAGACCGGTCATGCATCCAAAAAACAAAATATTTAGTATTTTACATTTCTTATCTCTGTTTATCAACTTCACTCATTTAAAATAAATAGTAAAATATTAAAATTTGAAATTAATTTCAAAACAAGTATTTGAATTGTTTAACTTTATCAATGTTTTTAATTGTTTCATTTAAACATTTCTAAAATGCTTCTTATCTCTTCTATATTGTAAAGGCTAATCTTGAAAAGATATGAAGATTAAACATACCTTTATTTTCTCACCCCCTCCTAAAAATGAAAGCAAGATACTTTTTACAAATTATCAAAAATTATCATATAAATGCACAATACTTAATGTCTTGAGCAGAATCTGTTTCCATTATGATTATAAAGAAATACAGATTGTTTTTCAATATCATAATCAAGTTATGTACATAAATGAAAACATATACGTATTTTTGATACATCAAATTTAATTGAAATAATCAAAGTGAAAAAAGAGGAAAATATGAGTCTTGTTGAATCAGCATCCATCGTAAATCAGGTTAAATTATTTGTTTTGTTCACTTTTTAATTAGCTATTTCTTCATTAAATAAAATGGGCAAGATTTCCGAAGATTCAAACACTGATTCAAGTTTAAATGCTTGAATTGATATATATCTTTGTAGAACAAACGGCCATTAAAAAGGATCGCCCATTTCTTTGATGAAAAATCAAGAATAAGCTAAGACCGCAGCTAAGAAAAATAAATCAAAGCACAGAAGGCGCTGAATTTGTTTGGGTTTCAGAATGTCAGAAAGGTGAAGGTCGTGAGATTATAAAACAATTTGTTTTTGTATAGTTCCACCAATGCTTTCCAGCGTTTTAAT